GCCCTAGCTGGTCTTCCTTTTGATACTGTGCTAGTGCTCTCAGTTTCTTTTAAGACTAGTAGATGTTCTTGAGAGTACTGCTGCATTGTCTGAATAGAATAAAACAGATGTGTCTTCCAACATGTATAGGAAGTGCACGTTTGTGTTGAGGAAATGACCCATTATGGAATTGCTGTAAAAGTTGAGTAGGAATGGGGCCAATATGCAGCCTTTCGGTTAACAATGGCAACAAGGATTGCCAGGATTGCCATTGCTAAATGCAGTCATGTGATGTTGTGATTTACAACTGCATTGCTCAGCAATTTAGTAAAGCAAGAGGCTGTATAGTTTTAATGAGGAAAGGGAGTCAGTTTTGGAGAGAGCATCAACTGTTTTGAAATAGAAATTCCCATATACAGAAACAATAGGGATCTATAAAAAAATCATACAACTGCAAGCTCCTGGTCATAACATTATTCAATGAGTAAGGAGGCTCATCTCATGCCATCATTAGAACAGCATCTTTCTATAGTAACCTTGGGATCTTTTAATATAATTGATTCACATAGTGAGATGCTCACCATATTTCAGCCAAAACCGGACTTGACAAACCTGACTGTAAAAAAAACATTCGTGCTTGATCACCTGTATGAAGAAAAGACAGAGGACAGAAAAGGACATAATAATGCCTTTCCAAACTCTCAGTTGGCAATTTTGTTCTAAAAGACAAACATTTTTAAAATAATTCTGTTAAGATTCTAATGCATTTAGTTATGGGATAGAATATAAAATCTGCATACAAGGCAAAAAGGCTAAAATGGGAAGTATACTGGACTGGGTAGGAGCTCCAAAGCCTTTGAACAAAATAAACCTGAGCCTTTTAGAAAAGATGTCAGATTAGTTTGAAGAATCATTCCCAACAAGAGGGAAACCATGGATAAAAGGGATCATGACTGCTATTCAACGGCATTTCTCTTCAGCATTTGTAGATATCTGTTCCCTTATCCAGAGACATAATCTGCATAAATTAGAAGGGACATATACACTTCCTCCCATTCCAGGAGAGTGTGTGAGTGCTCTGATACTTGACTCCACTTCCTAACTTTATTCTCCTCTCTTTGAAAAATGATGGAAGAACTGAACTAACAGCAAAAAATGAAAATTGGAAACACCAAATCCATATGGGGCAAACCTCCCATAAACCAGAAGCAACTTAAGTTAAAGGCTTCTTTGAGCCAGGTTTGGCTATTGGTGTCATCACAGATGTCCATGAGGTTTTCTTTGAAACACTAGGGCAATGGTTTTCCACTGCCTCCTTCTCAGAGGCCTCTCCCTCTAATTTTCTAGCCCATCAACAGACCTGGGATTTCCTAGTGGCTTCCCATCCAAATACTAATCAAATCTATCTTTAGCTTTTCTGAAATCAAGCAAAATTGGTGAGGTGGAGCTACCTGCTGTGATGCCTCCTGGAAGATCTACGATCTTGTATAAAATTAGGACAGCTAACAGTACCCCATAATTCCAAAAATATTGTTTATGTCATGTATTGTTGTCTAATAAACTGTGATACAATCATTAGATAAACACAAACTCGTGTTCATTACTTCCAAAAAGTTGTCAACTATAATTTTATATGTGGCTTATAGCATTACCAATTTTTGTAATATTGACAGTTACAATAATTTCTTTTTCAAATAATATTTTTAACCAGATAGCAATTCAATGAACTAAATCTTCAAATCATATACCATAAAACCATCCACTGCAGAAGGTCACACTAACCTGTAATATAACTCCCAACTGGCTTAAGGCTGTTAAACTGTTTATCATATTTCTTTCTTTCTTCAGAAGTGATGACCCACATATTTGGGCCTCCTGAAAAACAAAAAGTAATACTTTTTAAAGATTATGTTCAATTGGGGAAAATAATTTTTGTTGCCTTAATAATAATAATATTAAACCTAAAACTTTTATGACCCATCTTGCTTCTATCAATTTGACAGGAATGATGTTCTTTCTTGGGAATCATCCATTCTTCCTTCACATTTTTCACTTTATTATGTTGTTATTATTTTTAGTATTTCAGACTGCTTTTTCACACATTTTTACAAAGTCCCTCTTAGGAAATCAATACTGCTCAAATTCCAGATTTTTAGAAAGCAGAGATGTTTGTTTCTCCCATGCCCTTCATCCCTTACACTTAGCAAATCACTACTGCTGTTCTGCTAAATGGCAGCCTAATTTGCATAGAATCTAATTATAATGCAATATTAAAACACCAATTTCTTTATTATATTCAGATTCAGAACTATATGACTATTATAGATTTTGGAAATGGAAGGACAGGAGAAATGGGCTAAAACCAATGTTTCTTTAGACATCCACATTTCTCTGAAAAATTTACAATATTTAGGACTGGAGCATACAACTTCCTAAAACATTATTTGAAATATTTTAATTCATTATTATAAAATATAACCCCATTTTACAAATTGTAAGAATGCAACTTTATATTATTAACATTTCTTAACATTAAAGGAGGCTGTATCTAAAGCTGGCTGACACGGGTTTCCTGACTGAAGCAGAAAAAAAGTGGAGTTGCAGCAAAAATCGCCAGAAAAGAAGGTGAGGCCTGCTCTGGACCTTTCTTCCTCTATTCCCTGGATTGCAACCTGCTTAGCATCGATATGGAGAACTCACTGTTTGCCAGCTTAAAACCAATCAAAAATTCTTCCCTTGTTGGGTCTCTCTTTTGAGGGCATGGAGTGTATTTAATGCACACTG